AGGCAGGCAGAATTTTCCTAGAGGAAGTCAGAATATGAAGTTTAGTCAGGCAAAAAAGATGGGAGGGAAGGAGAGACTCCAGAGAAGTGAAAGGAGGATGACTCTCTTCTGAAATGAGTACAAAGCAATTCTCTCAAATCCACGATCAAGTAGCTCCATTGCCTTCAGCTCAGGGAAAAAAGTACTTTTAACAGGAATAAGAAATCCTATCGAAAGCCATCAAAACATTAGGAGCACCTGCTTAAGTCCCACTGGCTCTCAGTGACATTTAATCACTGGATCAAAGTTAAGCACGTGATTAAGAATGCTTTTGGGGGGAGGGAGGGAGGTGAATTTAAGCAGGTGCTTAAAGACCTCTCTCTTGGTGATGAACTAGAATGGAATATAATTGGGGAAGAGGAGGAGGAGAGAACTGGGAGAGAAGAAAGTGATGGAGAAGCCACTTTCTGGCATGAGAGTTTTATATCTCTCCTAGAAGACTTACATTTCTGTTTTTAATTCCAAAGGTGCTGTTCAAAATGCAATTGAACTTTCAAAAAATGGCTGAGAAGCAAAATGTTTTCAAGGGGAAGGGCAGAGAACAAGAAAATCCAGTTGCCTTTTGAACAGTAGCTTTTGGACAACCATGACCTGAATGACTGAGAATAGATACTTTCTGTTTTTAGAATACAGTGTAGTGGAATCTGGAAGAACCCAGGTAATAGAATAGATGGAGTGCTTGTCCCCATTAATCCATTACTCCTTGATGTGAAGCAAGTAGAAAACATGTCCCAACCCATATTAGTCTCCAGTTGTTTTAGTCAAGGGTACAGGATCACTGCTAGTGCCATCAGGATCTGAAGTGTACTGCATCTAGAGGGCTTTTCCTAATTTTAGTTTGGATAGACAAGATAATCAGATGATGGATTGCACTAATACAGGTAATCCTTGACTTGTGAACACAATGGAGTTCAAATTTTCCATTGTTAAACAAGGCAGTTGTTAAGTGACTAAAAATACATAGATTTATCTTCATATATTGACCGTGGCAGCTCCATGAAATGTTGAGACTTTCCTTAGAGATCGTTAGTTCCCACTTTTCTGATAGTTTCTAGATTCCAGGAAGAGAAAGGATAGAGTGATTGTGACATTAGCTGCAACATCTGCCTCCCACCAAGTGCTCCCCCAGCAACTGAGCTAGGGCCTTATGCCAAAGAATTCTAGGATTCTAGAAAGCTGAATATTCTTACCGAAAATAGTATAAACTTCCACCTGAGAAGTTTATACTATCTTTAGTAAGAATATTCAGCATTCTTCTATTACTAGAAGAAAATAAGTGAAAATGTGACTATAATATTGGTAGTCTCAGAAACTTATTATTGGAAAGGTGAATACACAGAATAAAAAGTGAACACTGTCTTAAATGGCAATTCTAGGTAAGGATTCATCCAGTTGTGTATGTTTGGCGTTTCTCATTATATTCTTGCTACCATAGCCAGTGATAATGGCATTTTGTTTCAAAACATCTGGAAGGCACTTGATTGGAAGAGCAATTATGAATGACAGGGCTATGGTTTCATGGGCACAATATAAACTTCCACTGAGTTAACATGGTCATGTACCAATTTGGTGTCATGGTCAGAAAGTTAGCATAAGATTAGAAAACCCTAGATTAAAATCTGCACCAATTTTGAAGTGGTTACTGTGTGACCTTGGATAATCTCCCCCTCCCCTCCACTTTAACCTCCTCTCTAGGTTAATTGTAGAGACTACTGTATATATAGCTGTAGAAGAAATATATGAAGGGTCTCCACAGATATTCACCAGAAAAATGTACTGCTATAGATGCAGAATGGATTAGTTGAAGAGTCCTGCCAAGTACTCTGCCTTCCTATATATTATTATGGGTTGATAACATTAAAACAGCATTTCTGATTCCGCAACTTACAGCCATCTGTGTACATCATGAATCTTCTAATGCTTACATCCTACACAATGGATTTTACAAGTTCTAAACCCAGAACAAGTTGTTACTAAGAGCACATAGGATTGTAGGGTTAAGGTTGGTTGATGCAGAATAGCCCCATAATAAAGCTGATTTCGTTGGGTCCTGCAGAACATAATATGATCAACATGGAATTGAAAATGTTTCTGATGTCAATAGTACTTCAGAAACAAGTTTTAAGTTTCACATAATGCTGTGCCAAGGCCTGCTTAATGATTTCCTCCCCATCTAAAGCATCTTCTGCTTTTCCACTTTATTTGTAGGGTGCTTGAAAATTAATTTTGTAGTTCTTAGGTAGCATTTTTGAATTTATTGTAAATGTGCTAGGAGAAATTCAACCGATATGCTTTCTATTACAGGTAGTCTTTGACCTATGACCACAATGGAGCCCAGAATTCATGTTGCTAAGTGAGAAATTTGTTAAATCAGTTTTGCCCTATTTTACCACTTTTCTTGCCACATTTGTTAAGTGAATCATTGCAGTTGTTAAATCAGTAATCATGGCTGTTAGGTGAATCTGGCTTCCCCATTGACTTTGCTTGTCAGAAGGTTGCAAAAGGGAATCACATGATCCTAGGACACTGCAACTGTCATAAATGTGAATTGCCAAGCATCCAAAGGTAAATCAGGTGACCTGGGGAATGCTGCAAAGAGTCATAGGGTGTGAAAAATAGTCATGTCAGTTTTTTCCATTGAAAAAGCCCCATTGAAACTTCGAATGGTCACTGAATGAACTGCTCTAAGTCAAGGACTACCTGTAGTCTTCTCTCCATTATTTGGAAACCTCCCTGACTACTATTGCTTTCTGATTTAAAGAAACTGCCCAGGAAGGATCTTCCTTCTGTTGCAAATGAATTGAAGGGTAAAAAAATAGGAAGGCTAAAACTCTTGGTAGAAATGATGGAACAATGAAAAATTGGGCACTACCACCAATCCTGAATAGCAGTGATCATCTTATTATTAAATAAATGTAAGAACCTCATGTTTTTCCCTGAGAACTTAAGATAAGTTCTTCTCCTGTGAAATAACATTGAAAAATATTTTCCCCTATCACCAACTTAAATGGGAAGTAGCAGGCAAAATTTTACTTGCTTGTTTATAAAATTATAAGCCACCCATCTTACTGCAAGGTAACCCCGGGTGACTTAGAATCATAAATGCATATATTTTTTCCTTATATAGCACTATTTTATATTTCTAATTCAGACAAGGTCAGCATTCAAGTAGGACTTTACCCTTCATCACTACTGGGCATCAGCTGTTTCTGATATCAACAAATACTAGCATGCTAATCAATTGCAAAGTTTAGTACTACAGATCATGCACTTTAGCTGAGCATCTGTTGTACACACATGAGGTCTAATTGACCTGTGAGTATCATGCCGAGCCCATGTGTCAGCCAAACACAGGCACACAGCTGAAGCATAAACAGCCTTCAGGTTGATCCTAGGCAGAGTAAGATATAATCAAAGCCTGTGGAGATATGGAGTAAAATGTAAATCTCCCTTTCTCAGAAGTTAGCATTCCTGTTGATTTGATATAATCAGAATCATACCAGTTGTTTGAAATCTTATCGCCTAAGGAGGGAAATTGAACTTTATCAATGCAGCTGGGCTGTGGGTTTCTTTTGTGTACGATCCCAAATCCAGTAGCTATGATCTTAAAATGCAAAGGATGAGAAGGGCAGAGAGAGAGAGACAAAACACACACAACAGCTCAGGATGAATGGCTGATTCACTTTCATGCCAATTTCCTTTCACTTTTCTTTAACAGAGTAGGCCTTTAAAAGCTCCACACCTTGGCTAGCTTTTTAAAGAGGTAAGCTCTTTCACCACCAGCCCTTAATGAATTTGTTTTGCCATCAATAAATCAGAATTACTATGAGCAATTTCCTATTGCTTCCCCTCCCCAATCACTCCCAGGACTTTCCCTTGCTCCCTCCAGTGCTGGAGGGACTGATGTATGGTTCTACTAAATTGGCCAATAAACATACTGCTCTTAAGCAAGTCCTGCCCTTTGTAAAGTTGCCAGCTGTAGCTTCTTTGCAAAGGGGTAGTAGATTATAGATGATGCTGGATGTGTTAAATGCCCTTGGTTGGCTTTATCCACCCTAGAAAATATTTACTCTCCTTGCAATTCTTTAAAAGCTACTACCATAGGAGGATAGTATTTTACCCTGGGGTGTGATACAAGAAAACCTTGGTGCCCTTTGATTAAAAGTAACTTCAGTTGAACAGAATATGTTGATCCTTAGAAATTGGTTCATGACATTTTCTAGCCTCAGTGGGATGTGATCAATACAGTTATGTATTACCAGTTCTGCTGTTTTTCACATTGGCGTCCACAGTACATTTTCTAAATGCCTAGGATGTCAAAGATACAGGGGCATCTGGGTGAGCTTGTCTGGATTATCTGCATGTGGAAATTACTGTCAAGGTTGCTTTTACCTATAGACAGCAGGCACAATACAGTGACGGTTTGACTTTGAGGCCCATCCCATATTGCTTAGCCTTAGTGAACTAGATATCTCCCAGCATAGTTAAATTTAGCTTTTTTTTCTGTTTAAGCATTAAGAAATGCTCTTTAGTGTGTTATTATTTGATTAGCCGATTTAGTGTGAAGGTCCTTCACTCAAATCTCTGAATCGAGTCAGCTTTCTGAATCAAATCATTGAGCAGAATTGGATGGCTTCAAATTGATTAGATGGGCTTTTGCTTTTGATTGAGTTAAATCAACAATTCATATGGGATTTAATTTTCCAAATCAGTGATTAGAACCCGATCAGGTCCTTTTTGCCCAAGCCTATCATTCCCCCCCCCCTCCTCTGCTTTTTCAGTGCCAACCACTAGATAAGAGTTCAAATTTCTTAAGGAATTATGGGAATCCAGCATGGAACTGTCCATCATCCATAAGTCTAAGACAAAACCCTTTGGAAACATTAAATCAATGTTGTATTATGTCCCACTGGCAATTGTGTTGGTGAAACTGAATACTTTCTCTGTTTATACATTCACAGAAATATGCCCAGGGTAGGAGAGCACCTTCTGAAAAGGCATTCCATGGCTTACCTTCCCTGGATCCTTGGCCTAAATAAAAGAGGATTGGGATTATAAAGAGTTCTTGTCACTTTGAAGACTGCCCAGGGGACTGAACTTCAGGACTGACCTCCAGTATAGGAGAAATGGGGATGAAGATGTTGACTATCTTTCATATGATACGTTCTAATTATTATACTAGGAAACGAAGCAGAAGTTTCCAGATCCAATATCAGTCCACCCATTTGAAATTCATATTTCTATGCAGTGGTTAATGTGCTCACTTCCGTACATTTGGCTGCCAAAACCAGAGGATTTTGTGAAAGCTGATGTCATCTTCTGCCCAATGGACAGAATCTCAGTTGCATTTGAGCAATAAAGTGTTCCATTTCTTTCCCTCTCTCTCTCCTGCCTCTTCCTCTCTCCCCCACTTGTTATTCCATTGTTCCTTGGGTTATGTTGTTGTTATGGCAACAGCTAAGATAATAAACTTGTAATAAACTTGGCATCAAATTTATCACCTTGTTGGATTTGAAAAACTGTAGGCTAAACAGCAAGATCTCGGCACCAGTCTGCACGAGCTCTTCCACGGGTGGTAGAGTTTGGGTGATGGCGGCTAGCATTTTGGAAAAACGGAGCAACTGTCTCCTGCATGTGGTATCTTAACTATGCCGTCTTCCCATTAACATCGCTGATGTCCATCTGTGGGAGGTTGTGATCATTTTTGAATTCTCTTTCTCTCTCCTTCACAAGCACATACACACGAGCCCACCCTGGGCATGTGGGAGGGATATTCCTTTGGCTCTTTGCTTTAGTTGTGGAAATAACTAAGGTCGGTGCTATGTGCAGAGTATGCAGAACTCCACCAGCATTCATTCATTCATATTGACTTGCCTCAACCTCATCAAGCCCACCACAGGAAAAGAATACACTCTGGGCTGAATGGTTTGGGGGCTGGCTAGTGAAATTCATTCTCTTGAATGAGAATGATTGCTCTGCAGTGCTTAGGTGACAGAACAAGTCTTCAATCTACTGTAGGTGTGAAAACCCCTCTGCATTTTAAAATATGGTTGTCTAGTTCTCTATGAATTCTCTTGCATGGGCTCAAACCTCTTGATCTTTAGTGGCATCCAAATGAAATCCACATTTGCATTATTTTTAAAGACTCTGGAGCGGTTTTTTCTAGGACTGGTCCTCCTTTCCACAGCAGCAGATGGTATTGCTGCTACTTTCATGAGTGATCCATTAGTTGATACCTTTGCTGCATACACATGGCTATATATACCCTGCCAGAAAGCGTTTCACCTTTTTAAAAAAGCAGCAACAAGATCTTTGCCTTTCTTGGGTTCACTTTTTTATTCCTATTTGAACAACAACAACAACAACAACAGGATTTCATGACAGAATGCCTGAAATTATGCAGCCAGTTTCGGCCACAGTATATGGGACACTGATCTTTGCACAGGAGGACATCTTCTCATGATTAATATTTTTTACTCCATACATCGCAGAATAGGACAGCAGCAAATTTACATCAGTGTGGGAAATGATCAAGTCCTCTGAAAGATATTCATCACCTGCTCTGACCCAAGGGTTTCAAACTGGAAGTTTAACTCCCCTATTTATGCATTGGATTTTCATTTGCATCACAAACTAAATTAGCAAAGCAATTCAGTGTCGTAAAAAACTGCCTTTGCAGATGCTAAAACCTTATACATGTTTTAAGATAAAGCACTTGTTTTTAATCTCCGGATCATAAAATTAGTAAGAGGTTTTCTGTTGTCTTGCATACTGCAATGGCTCCAAATTTTCCTGTGTTTTTCCCTCACCCCAATTTGGGAAAACAATGCTAAGCAAATTATGGGAACAGCAAACCCCTTGCCATATTCTAAACTCCTGATTTCCTTATGGTTTTTTCCCCATTTGGTTATAGGGAATAGTACAAGGATAAAATAATGGAGGGTTTCCATACTGATAGTGTATTGAATGAATCTTGTTTTTGCTTTTGCAATTGGGTAACCTACACAATTATATAAATAGGGAAGGCCTAAAGTGATCTCTTCCCTTCCTATTTATTACAATCTCTATGCTGAAATATCTATTCAAAATGAAACCTCATGGCTGTATCTAGTAAAATCAAACCATGTCTTCATTCAAAACATGTACAAGAAACACATTAGCCTGATTTCCAGTCAGTGTATATGTATACGGCAATTGAAATCTAAAGTTCTCAAGCAGGATGGCTATGTTTTACTTTAAAAGCTGCCAGTAATATAGTGGGAAGCAATTCATTAAAGAGACATAGTACCTAGGAGGTTAAAGAAATTCATGCCCACTCTTTGTTGCAATTTCCATTGAGATATGACAGTGTTTGCCAAGAAACCATTCAGTTTGCAAATCTTAGAAAGCAATTTTAGAGTTTCAGCTATAAATAAGCGCACCTTAAGAAATGTCTCAGTAGCAAGAGATTTATTTCCTGCTAAAAATGCATATTATTTAAATTTGGCACATAATTGTCTGCAACAAAACATTTATTTATTTAGGTAATACTTCTGTATCTTGACATTAAGGGCTCAATACTCTTTATAGCAGTTCAAACACCTTTCCCCAACTTATCCTTGCTAAATCACTAGCTTCACCTCACCCACCCACAAAGCTCCATGGATGAGCAGGATCTTGTCCTTGGGTCTCCCTGAGTTCCAAATCAATACTTCAATTCTTAACATCACTGATCTCCCTTATGGTTCTGAAACAGCAATTAAAAGTTTTCTGAAGAGAGACTTTACAAGGATCTTTAATCACAGTAGAGGTAAAGCATTGTTGTTGTTTTTGTTAGAGAGAGAGACATAAAATGACTGGCTCAGTCAAGAAATCCTGAAAAATTGTCCCTCCAACCACTGTTGCAAACAGCGCTGGAGAAGGTCCCTGAATTATCTCCCCCTCACCAAGACTAAGTTAAAACTGTATTGAGCAGATCTTGAAAGCATTGTGTGTACATGGGAGGGAGGAAGAGTAAATAAAATAAGAAAGGAAGAGAAAAAGAAAGAAACTAAAGGCACTCCAGACAATTGCTCATTTTGTAATGAGTTATTACTTCAAAGGTCATTAGAAAGGATACGGGCGGCCATAAAACCAGCCTGCCTAGTATACTTTCCCAATTGAGATGATCATTATTGGCTTATTAATCTGCAATAATGTTGAATTATACACAGTAATAAATAGGAAAAAGGTTGACTTGGAGTGTTAAGTATGTTATGGATCTCCAAGTGAACATTGCAAAGCAGCAAGACTCCCTTGGAATGTGTGGCACATCTTCCCCAAAGCATTTGATATCCTTTCCATTCTGTTTCACCTATTCACCCTATTCCCAACTCCCCCAGGAATGTTCAATTCTGCCATTCTTGTTACACTTTTCCATTTTCCTAGGAAGATGATATTCTTGGGCTGGATTGCCCTGATCAACTGCTTAAAAAAAAGTAAACAAAACTAGTTACCGGAATATCCTAAGGTTGTAAAAGCCTCTTTGTTTTCCTCTGCCCAATGAAGCATTTTAGATTTATACAGGAAGAGGAGAATTAAACAGGTCTGGAGAATTAAAATGCTAAAGCATATCTAATCTGCCCTGAGAGATCCAAAGTATACACATACTTGCTAAGTCAGCTTAAAACACCTTCTCTCTCTCTCTCTCTCTCTCTCTCTGTGTGTGTGTGTGTATGTGTGTACTTAGGATCACACATCTTTGTTAAGGAAATGCAAGGAGGCCCTGAGAAATTAGCAAGTAGGACTTTCAGAAATGGGGTCCTGTTGTTGTAAATCTTACTCTGTTTCATTTCCCCCCCAGTCAAGGTAGAGTCTGTTTAGCAAACTCCTTTAGAACAAAGTGCACCCCAAATGTATTTTAGTTTATCTTTTTTGAGATGCTGCATTTGAAAGAAAGTTGTGTTTTATTTTGAAAATAATACCAAATGAGATGTAGAAGCAAAAAAATACCAGCAACAATAGAGTAAGCGCTATTGGAGGACTTCCTTTCAAGTAAAGATAGGTGGGCTGTGGAGGTATTACATACTGAGGTACTTCCTCCCCCACTAATTATGCTTCCTTTTAAAACTGCAATTTTGCTCATCCGAAATGGCAAAACTTCGGTGTCTAAAACTTAAATCTTGTAAACTAATCTTGAGGCCGAGAAACTCCTCCGAAAATGAAGCCCTGCTCTCCTTTTGATTCCTTTCAAAAAGGATAGATATAGATATAAATATAGAAGATAGATATAGAAGTTATGCGGTAGATAGATATAGACATGGATATAGATATAGAATTATAGATATATAGATATAGAAATAATAAATATAGATATAGTAGAGATAGGTAGATAGATAGATTTTCAAAGTAAAACGATTGTAACGATAAAGACCCCACAACCGGATGAGCCCAACGAAGTTTGCGTTGCTCAGACTGTTGACTGAAAATATATACTAGGTGGCTCCTGACTTCAAATGCATGAGCAGAGGGAAGGAAGGGAGAGTCAAACTCACCTCCCAACCCCAAAAGGAAAGTACAACTAAATCTGGGATTAACGTCCTTCCCTTTTGCTACAGAAAACTCGCGTTTTGTTGCCAGGGCTCGGGCAGTCGAACTGGATCCTCGCCGCGCAAGCTCAGCATCCGAATGACCACGCGGAAGTCCACCCCAGACCGCGGAGAAGGATGCTGCAACCCCAGCCTTCCTTTTTTGGGGGGGGGTGTCCACTTATCTCCTCTTCCTCTTCCTCCCCTTCCCCTGGCCTTGCCTCCTCCAGACAACTCTGCCTAGAAAAAGAAAGGAGAAATACGAACGCCACATCTCCACGCGCAACACACACACACACACGTGTTCTTCCTCGGGCTGTAGGGCTCTCTTCGTCTCCGTTCACCAACCCCAACACAGCCGTTTTCTCCGAAAACTCCAGATGGCTTTGGATCTGTCAAAAGAACTCCGGAGAAATCAAATCTATAAGGAAAAGACGGGGCATGGGAGGAGGTGGTTAAAGAGAAATCGTACCAAGTTAAACGCTTAGCTCTCTCGCTCTCGCTCTCTCTTCTCCCCTGCCCCAAATGTAAAATTGTTTCTTTTGTGCCAGGAGCTGGCACACTCGGGTTGTTGTAGTCGGAGCGCGTGTTTTTTCCCCACGAGGAGGCAGAGGGCAAATTTCTAGTCGTCTCTTTTTCATTCCCCACCACCATCGCCCAGGTTCCCCAGTCCCCAACATTTTCCCCCCCAAAGGAGGCGAAACGCTTCGGCCCCGACTTCTAGTATTCTCTGTCCGTTAGGCCTTTCGATATAAGCCGCGCCTGTGGGAAGCGTGGGCAAAGGAAGACCCTCCCCGAAATCCACAGAGCGGTGGATTTAAGGGAGAGTTGGGACTTCATCCTACATCTTGGACACTTTCTTCCCCGCCCGCGCTCTCTCCAAGGGATTGGGGCGAGGGGCGCGGAATTAACCTGGCGAAAGGGCTCCTTAAGCGGTAGAAAGTGCAGCAAA